TAAGTTACTGTGGAAAGAAGAGGGGTAATATTTACTCGATCCCCAACTTTAGGAATAATGGAGGTTCGAAGAACATGCTGAAGGGTTTGAGCATTATAATTAAGAGTGGACACCTTAGGAAATGAACTTCATTTCCAAACCCTCTAATAACCTCATTTATCACAGTCCAGTCAAAGTCGAATGAAGAAGTCAAAGTATGAGCTCTAATCCCTTGAGTCGTTAAGTTCAAAAATAATCCCAAATCCACTTTTGTTATCTCTACCTTTTTCTTAAAAACATACGACTTAATCACAGTTTGGTCATAGTTAAAAGACATATTTGCAAGGAAGTAGTGGAAAGTTTCCTTGTTCTAGAAATGGACTACACTCAGAATAAGTGCAAACTGTGTAAAAGTAAAAAGTTCCATAATTTTAAAAGTGATTTGTTCTTGGAGAAGGACTCTAGAGGGGGTGATCTTGGCAGATACGAACCTAGGGAAGGACTCCTCATTTTCTTTTGACAGAAAGTTTTCTCTAAGGTTTCTAGAGGGGGGGTCCCTTAGTAAGTACCTTTTGCTTGTCTCTTTTGCTTGAACTAGCCATGGAGGAGATCAAGAAGATTTAGAGGATTAAAAGAGATTTTGAAGTGAATGAGATTTGAGTTCAAAACCTTTCAATTTAAGGAAAAAATGAATTTTAGTAAGAACGAAAAGTATTTCATCCATGATGAATTTGGGTTCGTACGTACGAAATAAATTTTGTATGTACAAATGAATGTGTCCAAAAATGAAATGAATTTTCGTAAACATGAAAGTTACGAGGCGTCCCTTCGTACAGACTTTTGACCAAACAATCGTATAGATGAACAGGTGTTCATCTGGGATGATCAGTTAGTTAAGATCATTTTTATGATGGTTTGAAACATCCCCCACATTGAATTTCCACGTGTTCATATGTATGAACTGAACATTCGTACGTACGATCAGAAATAAAGAAACTGATCTTGTTCGTATAACCATCTACATGCATACATATGATTGAATACATATCATCCGGATGATCGTCATAATCATTCAGACGAATAGTATTTAAAAAATTTGAAAAACTACATGCAAAACCATTCGAATCAAACGTTAATAACCTACACGATTCATCCTATACAAAAATAATTTCGTACAGACGAATTTCACACTTTGAAATTTTCAAGTCAACAATCAAAAATCATGAATCTTGATGTGAAAGTACACAAAACAAACAGACATGAGATTATAAAATCAAGCACGAACAAAACACTAAAAAACACATAAAAAAAATCACAAAATTAACATACACACAAATACAAATATATATCAATGTTGGAGAAACATTTAATTAAGCATTCAAGTCAATCACACCAAGCCTTGTTCTTAATGTACTTAAAGTATCAAAGGGTAATGGTTTAGTAAAAATATCTGCAAGTTGATTTTCTGTTAATACAAGATTGAGTTTAGTTTCTTCTTTGGTTATATGATCCCTTATGAAATGATGCCTAATGTCTATATGTTTGGTTCTTGAATGTTGAATAGGATTTTTAGAGATACAATTGGCACTAGTGTTATCATAATAAATAGGAATTGTGCCTATTGTTAATCCTAAATTAATCAACCATTGTTTCAACTAAATTACTTGTGCCACACAACTTCCTAATGTAATGTATTCAGCTTTAGCAGTAGATATGGCTACTGAATTTTATTTTCTACTGACCAAGAGACTAAAGAATTTCCAATGAATTGACATGTTCTAGAAGTACTCTTTCTATCAACCCTACAACCTATAAAATCTGAATCTGAATATCCAATTTTTTCAAATGAAGAGCTAAACTTAGGATACCAAATTTCTAAGTTTTGAGTTCCCAACAGATACCTTAAAAGCTTTTTCACTACTGTCAAATGTGATTCTTTTGGATCTAATTAAAATCTAGCACATAAATAAACACTAAACATGATATCGGGTCGGCTAGCTATCAAGTAAAGCAAAGATCTAATTATCCCTCTAAATTTCTTTTGATCAAAAGATTTTCCCTTAGAGTCCTTATCTAATTGAACTGAGGAACTCATACGTGTATTAACAGGTTTAGCATTATCCATTTCATATTTTTTGAGGATGTCCTTAACATAATTTGATTGACTAAGAAATGTACCCTCCTCAGTTTGCTTAATGATAAAGACTAGAAAATTGCTCAAATCTCCCATTAGACTCATATCAAATTCACTACTCATTATTTTAGAAAAATCATCACAAAGATTTTCATTTGTAGATCCAACGATGATATCATCAACATAAATTTGTACAATGACTATTGCCTCTCCCAATTTCTTCAAAAAGAGAGTTGTGTCCACACTTCCTTTTTCAAAAGATCTCTCAAGTAGGATGGTGCTCAACCTCTCATACCAAGCCCTAGGTGCCTATTTTAATCCATATAATGTCTTTTTTAATTTTAAAATATGATTTGGATGTTTAGAATTTTCAAAATATAGAGGTTGTTCTACATATACATCCTCTTGAATTACCCCATTTAAAAAGACACTTTTAATATCCATTTGGTATAATTTAAATTCTCTAAAATAGACAAAGACTAATAAAACTCTAATTTCTTCAAGTCTAGGTATAGGGGCAAAAGTCTCCTCAAAATCAATTCCTTCAATTTGATTATACTTCTTAGTAACCAATCTAGCCTTATTTCTAATGATTACTCCCGAGTCATTCATTTTGTTCTTGAATACGCATTTAGTTTCAACTACACTTTGATCCTTTAGCCTTGCAGTTAATTTCCAAACTTTATTTCTTATAAATTGATTTAATTCATCCTGCATTGCCAATATCTAAAATTCATCCGAAATTGCTTGATCAATATTTGTCAGTTCTATCATTAAAATAAAGGCTGAATGATTGACTTCTTTGTTCAGTCCACGCCTAGTCCTAACACCCTCATTAGGTTCACTTATAATCAATTCCTTCAGGTGGTTTTTAGAAATCTCAAATCTCTAGGCACTGGGTTTTCTATCTCCAAATTTTCTTCTAAATTTATTTTCTCAATCTTTTGGGAGCTAATATCTATCTCATCCTCTTCAATAATTGGTTTTTCCAAATTTCCAAATTCATCAAATACAACATGTGTGGTTTCCTAAATTACCAAAGTTCTTTTATTAAAAACTCTTAAAGATTTTCCAACACTTGAGTATCCTATAAAAATACCTTCATCTAATTTTGGATCAAATTTTCCTAAGGCAGATTTTCCATTATTATGAATAAACACCTTACATCTAAAAACATGCAAATGTAACAAATTAGGTGTTCTTCCCTTTAGCAACTCATATGGTGTTTTATTTAATTTTTATCTTACATTCACCCTATTTAGAGCATAAAATGCAGTGCTAACCGCCTCAGCAAAAAATATTTAGGAAGTGAGTATTCTACCAACATGGTTTGGGCGGCTTCAATTAATGTTCTATTTTCCTTTGAACTACCCCATTCTGTTGAGGGGTTCTAGGTGCAGAAAAATTGTGAGCAATTCCTTTCTCCTTATAAAAATTCTCAAATTTTTCATTCACAAATTCTCCCTATGATCACTTTGAATAGTCATAATTTCACATCCTAGCTTTTTTTGAATCCAAGTCAAAAAGTTTCTAAATTCCTCAAATGATTCACTCTTTTGAAATAGAAATCTAACCCATGTGAATCTAAAGTAATCATCAACAATAAAAAATCCGTATACCTTCCCTCCTAGACTTATAGTTCCAACTGATCTAAAAAGATCCATATGCACAATCTCTAATGGTTCACTAGTTTTAAGATCCTTATTGGAATGAAAAGAGGACTTCATAATTGACATGCATCACAAAGGTGGTTTTTAGTAAAGTCTAGTTTTGGTATACCTCTCACTAGGTTCTTTTGGATAATCCTCCTAAGGTTTTTCATGCTAGAGTAACAAAGTCTCCTATGCCAAATTAATGACTCATTAGAAGAGTTTTTAAACAAAAAATAGTAGTAGTTTTAATGCAATTCAAGTCTAGCATATACACTTTTTTTGCCTAAATACCATTCAAAACATCATTTCCATTTAGTCTTAATATGCAGCTAGTAGGAAAAAATTTTACACAGTATCTTTTATCACATTGTTGGCTAATACTTAATAAATTATGTTTTAAGCCTTCTACAAGTAGTATTTTTTTAATAAAAAAGTTTTTAAGATTTTCAATCATACCTGATTCTACCACCTTCCTTGTTATGTTATCTCCAAGTGTAACCCTACATCCACTCCTATCTTCCAGCGATATGAATTGAGCAGTATCTCCAGTCATATGCTTTGAGCAACTGCTATCCAGGTATTATATGCTCTCACGAGGCCTTGTGTGAGAGTGATCCTGTAAAATCATCAAACATTAGACTTGGGAACCCAAATAAGTTTGGGTTCACCTTTTTGTAAATCATAAACAGATGCATGTATGATATGTCTAGGTTTATGC